GCTTGCCCAGAAATCTGGAGGCAGTATCACCTAACGGTGAGTAGAAACACCTTTTTTATTTTCCCCAAGACCTAGCCTATTTATCCTTCTCTGAACTGCTGACCATAAAATATAGACAAGCATCTTCTACTGGAAGATAATAAACATCTGAAGAGTTTTTGCACTGAGAAAGCAATAATATACTTTTTCTCTTCTCCCCTGCCCACCAGTCTATTCTCTGTCTTCCTGTTCTGAAAAGATTTTGATTGTTTTTTTTATTACTCACATCATTTAATGATTACATCATGGTATCTTAGTCTTCCTAGACTACATTCATTAAATTAAAGGGGAAAAGTATGCCAGGAGCCATAAAAAATAATAGCAATCCAGTGTCTTTAAAGTGTTATATTATCTACAGTCCATAAGCATACAGTCCATAATATCTTCCATAATCATTTTTCTGGCTTTATTGAAATTTTTGCACATATTTTTTAATGAAACTAAGAAAAGCTCAGTGTATCTTTCATAGAGAACAATTCAAATGTCATATCCTTAAGCTCCTCTTGACTTATTCAAAGTGTATAAACATCTGCTTAATACCATTCAAGTTATTCAATTATCTGGTTTCCTTTTATTGTGAATTTAGGCTAAGTAGAAGTGGAAAACATAATTTACTATGGAATCATTTGGCTAGTGCTCAATATTATGAAGTTAGTTAGTTTTTAATATTCAGCTTAAATAATTTCAATAATTCACAATAGCCCTAGTAGTCATTTTTTAATATACTAAATGTGCTACACTGAGCAAGACACAATAATAAAAATTATTCTTATAGTTATACAGTTATAACAATGTTATAAAAGCTGTTCCTTAAGGTTAACATCAAAAAGGTTTTGGTTATAGGAAGACAGGTAGAAAAATAGAAAGGACAAAGTTTCACAAAAACATGTACTCTTATTGCTCTCCTCTTGTAGAAATAAAAAGTAAACCAAGTGACTCAAACTACCAATATATCTATCACAGGCCCAAGACGCAAGGAATAATATATGTTTTCATAAGGAATACGTTTTCGTACTGTTATCACTGTTTAATTTATGTAAAGATTCTCAGTAGAAAGCTATAATTCCTCAACTATCCTTCAGTCCCAAATTGGGTTTTATTAAAATATTTAGTGTTATACCAAAATACACGCACACACACCCCTATGTATGTTAACACACATATGTTACAGATGTAACTCATGTGGATATATTATGTTTATACTTATGTAGCAATTTTTTTTGTCCTAACATACTATGGGGAAATCCTTATAGCCTAAATTTGATCGAAACCCAATCATATATTTTTCAAGATCATAGTCACTTTTTGTAACTATATGGCAGTTTTCTTCATCAGTATTTTTATTAAGTAATAGCCTAATGGATTTGACAATTGTGTTTCTTTTCCCTTTTCCCCTAAGTTAGAGAATTCCAGCGTTGAAAACTTGAAGTATGGGAAGTACTACTCTAAAGCCACTCTTTTCATTACTTGCACCTATATTCTTTTATATAACTGTCATAGAAGGATAGAAATTGGTGTTTAGTATAACAGAAATATTTGAAGGTTTGTTTGATAGTATAGCTTTTGAAAAACATTGTAAAAAGAATAGTTTGGGAAAAACAAATGAAAACAGAGTGAATTTCCCTTTGGGGGAGTTACAATATATTCTATTTAGAGGTATAACAAAATCATTTTGAAAAATCCATTGTTCTCAGTCTGGAGTTCTGATTAATTTTTCAAAATAATATTGCAGGTAACTATCACAATTTCTAATTGTCAAGTTTAAATTAATACCTAGTAATTTAGAATTAGTTTACTATGCAAATATAAATTGTAAACTAGTACATTTATAAACATGTGTATATATGTATCAATCCATCTAAAATAAAATAGGTAAATAATTATGTATATAAGCAAATCCAAATGTGTATAATTAAGCAATATTTAATCTTGAAGAAAAGCAAGATGCATGGTGAGTTTCATCCTCTTCAGCCCTTTTACTAGGCGATGGACTGCCATCTATTGACTTATAGTAGCCCTCACATGTGAATGTGGCATCACTCAGCAGTGACCAAGTAATGAAGCCTAGGTTAGAATTGCCACTGTATATTCCTTTAAACCAGTCTTCTTAAAACTCTGGAAATTTCTGCATTTAATCCTTGATTAGTTTCTTTTTTTTAACCCAAAAAGTATCCATTTCTTACCCAAAATCAACTGTGCTTTTGGGGGAATAAGTTGATTAGTATATCCAATTTGGAAATGTTTACATTTGAGAACTTTTCAGTTGCTTTTATCTACTTTTTATCAATAAGACTAGAAGGACATTTGCACAGCCTAAAGTTTAGCAACTATGATTTAAGGTCTATTTAGGAATTGCTTTCTTTCTTTAAAAATAAAAAATCTGTAGCTTAAATAGAGGATTATTTCTCAGATACACAAGAAACATGGTGAAGTTGATGGGTATAAGTAGACTTGCAAAATGTTCCAAATCAAAAATTTCTTAAAACACATTCTAAAGTAAGAAGAAAATTAAAGAAGGGAAATGTTCACTGTTTTCAGCAGTTAAATGAGATAAAAATAAAGCCTCCTTAACAACTTGTATCTGAATAGAACATAAAATAGAACAGCTTTTTAACTAAACTTGACTTCACTACATTAAAAATAACTAAGACCATCATTTTAAAGGGTACATGCCAATAAAACTCTGATAAAAAGATACTACATATATATCTACATAGATATATATTATGTATGCATGTTATAACAACTAATTTAGCTATGTCATTTTTCTTGGTATATTTTAATGACTATAAACTTATGTCATATAATTTGATGACTTTAGATGACCACTTTGGAGCCCTGCATAGAAAAAATATATATATTATTTTTATTTAGAATTAAATAATTTCCCCAAATAGTTTGTGTATTTACTCCTTCAGAAATGTTTGTAAAGTTTTTTAAATCTTCAATACTATAGCACTGTTCTTGTATTTTAATTTCTGTTATATTTTCAAGTTTTGGTAAAGTCTGACTTTGAATATTCTTTTTCATCTTTCAGATAACTCATTCTAGATAAAATTCTCCCTCTCAAGAAGGAAAGTCCCTTCCCCCATCCCCTGTCATTTCTAGTCTCATTTATATTAAAAATCCTAGGCCAAAATGGCCACCAACAGAGTTTTACAACCAACAGAATTTTTAAGTAGTAGAGGCTATAATTTGACATGCTTTGGACATTTTGTTAATCTTGTTCTTTAATCTACTTACTTTAAAAAAGTAACTAGGAGTTTGCTATTTGGGGGCTGTGTGTGGGTTAAGAATCAAAAAGGACAATACATCTTTTATGTTTAATTTTGCGCCCAGATTTCTTTGTGTACATTGTTAAAATATGTTACAACCTACTACCTTTTTAACTAAAAGTTTAAATAGGAAGCAAATGTAATCTTTTTGGAAGAATTACCTTCTAAATGATTCTTTATATATATACTTGCTGTCAGGGAAATGGGGAGGAGTAGGATTTCTTTGCCTTCCTGTGTAGCCTAGGAAAAAGCTGGTGACAAGAATTTAGTAGTAATCAGTAATCTTACCTGAACTACTTGAATGCCAGAGTATACCTTATGGACCATAATTAACAATTTTGTTTCGTTTTCCTCCTCGGTTTTCTCTCCTTACTGGAAACATCAATTTAGAAATGTGTTTTCTGGGTTTTCACAGTATGGAAATGAGGGTTTTATACTAAACGAGGGTGTTACTCTATGCCATGCCACACAGGAGGTAACCCTAAATGTGAACAGACTTAAATTTAACTCTAGAGCTATGCTTTGTAGTCCAAAAGGGAGGAATAACAAAGGGAATTTGATTGTGAGGGTAAAGGTATCCAAAAGTCTTTATCCTGGAATTGTGTTGTAAGATAGGATGAGTAACAATTTTCTAACTGCCTAACATGGAAGCATTTTTAAAAATAACTTAAAATGAAAAATTAAAAGTTTCCAGAAGTTAGCCCAAGCTAGAATCTTTTCTTTGGGGGTGGGGGGTGGAGAGAGAACACCTCTTTCTCTCTTAATTAAATATATATTGGGAATCCTCAGTCTTTTTTGAGAGCTCTTTGGCTACATAAGCAGAACTGCAAAACCCACAAGAACCCCATCCACAGTAGATATCAAGTGATATGTCCTTTTCCATGTGTGTGTTTAAGAAAATAGAACTGGTTACATACTGTATTTTAAAGTGTTAACTCCAGAATAGAGTGAGAACTAGGCCTCACTCTATTTTGGAAAATTTAAATCAACTTTTTTTTTGATACCGCATCTTGAGGCCTGGCATACAGATGATCATAAACTAACACTTTAAAATTCATCTTGTAAGCTCTTATTTTGGTAGTTCAGTTCACTTTGCAGACTTCTCAAGAACCAGGAATACTCTTGTTTCAACTGTTGGGGTTTTTCCCCCCTCAAGATCTGGTATTGCTGTTTCAATGTTGTGGTTGGTTAAATGTTGCTATTGAGATATTACATCTCTGTCAAATTTTCAGAGATTTAGTTTTCATTAAAAATGCCCTTAATACTGAAATACTACTGAGGTGAGTGTAATCATGCTCTGATGATTCAGAAGGCACACAACTATTTTGTAGTACCTCAAGGCTGTCTTCCCATTGTAGTACTACAAAATAAACCAGAATGCTTTATGTTTCAAGTTACTTGGTGTCTGAACAAAAAGAATTTCTGAATAAGCACTGATGACTATTTTCTAATACTCCATATGTAACAGAGATAGAAAAGACATTTGGACAGTGACTAAAATTTTAAAATATTTTTCAGATGGAAAATTTATGTGAATACTTTTATATTTATTTAAATACTCACCTTGTTCTTAAAGTATTTATAGTGTCAACATTTTGCTAGCAGTTTTTTTACTTCAGTCTTAGCATGTTTAGAATTTAGTGTAAAATGTAATTACTACATTTACAGAGTAGGTCAACTGAGGTGGGTTTTTTTTTCTTTTTTTTTGAATCTTTATTTCAC